TTGCAGCAACATGGATGGAGCTGGAAGGGATTATGCTCAGTGAAGTAAGTCAAAAGGAAAGAAGAAAAATATTGGATGCTTTCCCATATAGGAGGAATATAGGGGAACAAAACAAGGGATCAAGAAAAAAGACAAAACTAGCAGGCAAACTATTAATTGAGACATTCAACCAGGGAGGGGGAGGGAAAGGGATCATAAAGCAGTGGGAAGAGCACAAGAGACTATGGTGATGGTTCATAGATGACTTGGTGGTGGGAATATTATTTGGTTTACACTGAGAGAATTCAAACATTGTACGAAAATGAACAATGATGTAAAATATATACATAAAAATAAATATAGTTTTCAAAAAAATCTGTGGGCTCAATAGTTCCATCCCAGTAAGTCATTAGAGCAAACAATTAAAGCAAAGACCTGGTATAAGCAGATCATGATCTTATTTAGATCCCCAGCTCTTATCCTGCTCCAGTATTGATATTTGGCGCAAATCTTTATTTACTTGGCACCATGCTGAGAGTTTTCACATATATTATCCTGTTAATGCTTAAAAAAAACTGTAGGGGTGTACTGCTCTCAGTGTTTTACAAGTATAGACATTGACCCCTTAGAAGATTGAATTGATTTGCTCAAGGTTGAAGCAAGGATGTGAACCCAAGGTTTCTAGGTTTCAATTCTGTTTTTTCATTGGTGATATTGTATAGGTGTAAACTATTGCTTATAAAATATAGTATGTTGAGCAATGAGGAAACTACCAAGTCATTCTGGTTAATCTTGTCCATCAGCCAGCTTGAAGGCACCCTTGTAGTCTACACCAACATTTAGCTTGAGGGTGATGAAGCATGATGGTTCTCTAATAATGTTCCTGCCCATAAAATTCTTTACACTCAATCACAGTAAATGGTGAACTATTAAAAAAAATTATAGTGTTTGGTCATTCATTTGCTTCAAATAATTGGCCTAGGGCTGGTGGTTAAGGTGAAACCAGGATCATTGCAAGCTCTTTAGAGAGATCTAAAATAAAAAGTTTATGTTCTAAAAGATTCACACAAAATCATTATGGATATGGAATAAAATAAAAAATTTAAACTTATCGTTAAAGACTACTATCCCACCTACAAGACGTTAGAAGAGAAGTATCTCTTCTTGAGAAGAAGAGACAAAGGTTTATCTAAGGAGGGTAGATGAGCCTTTGAACTTTGATTTATGTAATATAAAGGTGGGTTGCTTGGTCAATGTATATGCAGTTACTTTCTGTAGATGAAATATTTAATTGTAAAAAAAAAATGAACAATTTAGTTCTCCAACATTTTGTGGCAGAACAGAGTCAAGAGCAATTATTGTAGTAAGAGACCACGATTTCTGTCCATCAAGAAGTAACAGAGTTCCGAAGGTCCAAGAAGCATGTTTCTGTTGATTAATTCAATGCACAGGACCCTTCCTCTGCAGTAGAAAGTGAGGTGATTCAACCATGGCTGCACTTTGTGGAAAAAAATGTGGTAAGAGTTGAATGGCATGGAGACCTTATTTTTGGAGGCCATGTGACATGAATTACACTTCACTTCATTGCAGAAAAATGAATACCAGAGAAAATAATGCAATAGACTAAGAAGATAGCATGTTGAACTCCTCTTCCTGGAATAATTCCCAGAACTTTCACTGCTCACTATTCCCTGATGACTCTCAAATTTATATCTTTAACTCAGAGCTTTGCAATGAGCTCCAGACCCAATTTTCAACGGCCTGTTCAAGAATTCTGCTAGTATGTCTTGTAGTTTCTTCTTTCTTAATTCTAGCTAGAGTCATTCTAGACTCTTCTTTTTCTCTCCTTTCCCACCTTTGATCAATCATTACATTATGTTAATCTTACTTTGAGTGTGTTAATCCTATATTCAAATTCAGTTCTACTTCATTTCCCACTCATTACCACCACCCTGGATTTTTCTTGCCAGGATTACTTCAAACATTTCCCATATCCCTGCCTCCAGATGGTCCTCTCTCCAATCTCTCTTATACTTTGCTGCCAGGATTTTCTTCCTTAAAGAAAAAAAAAAAAAAAGCACAATGTTGCTTCCCCACTTAACCACCTCCATTGTCTCCTCCTTGCCAGCAGGATAAAGTTCAAACTCGCTCCTATGGTTTACAAGGTCTTTCACAATCTGGACCCAATTTATCTTTCCAATCTCATCACTTGCCACTCCCCTCAACCACACACTCTACACAATCACCAAACTGAACTATCTTGTTCCCTTAACACATGGCATGCTTTCTTAATTCTGCTAGTCTGCATAAACTTTTCCTTTGCTTTATAATTTCCTCACTACTTTTCCCCAGAAAACTCCTAATCATCTTTAAGTACAGCACAGTGATTGATAACAGGCACAAGTATTGACTGTGTACTCTGTTCAGGAACTATAGTAAGTATATTGCATTTATCATCTCAATTAACTTTTTAACAATTCTAATATGTGGGTACCATTCATATTTTAGATGGGAGGTAATTGAGATGTAGAGTGCTTGGGTTATTGCCAAATTAATATGGGGTATCCAGACCGATAGACCCCATATTCTAATATTCTAATCTCTGCAGCGTAATGCTTGAAAAACGAGTGAATGAAGGAAGGGAGGAATAAACAAATAGTACTGGGAAGAATGCAACCTTTGCTTTTGGAGAAATCATAACATGAATTATAGGGTGGAGATACCGGCTTTCTTTTTTTTTTCCTCACAAAGAATTGTAAATTCATTTTTAATGCCTCTTCTCTGAAGCTTCTGTGACTGTCACCTAACTCATCCCAGGCAAGGTTACTAAGGTCTTTAAATGTGTTCCCATAACTTCATGCCTACAATTCTGTTATTGGTTCAGTTATCAATATTGGCTCAAATGTCTGTCTCTCCTCACCAGGCAATAAGCTTCTAGAGAATCAAGAATATGTTTTACTCCTCTATATAACTGCTGCAGCATCCAATATGATATTTGGTATAGATTAAGTCCATGGTATATGTTTCTGGAATGAGTAGCTAAAAAGCTTAACATCCTTGCTTTAGTCCAAAAATAGACATGTTCTGTTTATATTTTCACTCAATGAACTTTGATCTCAGAGTGAATATAAGTTGGAAGCTAGGATTCTGGTGTTTCTTTGTCTCTCCAAGTTGCCACATACCTCTTCTAGAGGGAGTATCTTGCCATGCTGATTCTGTGTCAAGAGTTTCAGACACAGTTTAGGTTTTTTTAATACAACACAGTCTCTAAACGCATGTTAATGATTTTCTCTGGTGTTTAATTGTAATATTTGTGATCCATTCTAACATGGAGAAGAAACTGGGTTTGTTAAGCATCTAGAAATGTTGAAGAATTATATTGCAGAAAACTTTAGGATTTAAAGGATTTTGAAGAGTAATCTTTACTAAATTCAATTATTTTTTAAAACTAAACCAAACTAGTTGCAACTCTATTCCTATTAAGTGCTAAGGTTGGGTAGAAAGAGTATTCATGTAATAGCTTAATAAGGTGATATTGACTTCTAGATTTCCCCCTTTGATTTATAAATTGTCAACAGGATATATGGCAGCTAGAGGTTTTTTCATGAATTTATCTTCTTATGGTGGTGTGACTGGCATGTTCTTTTTTCTTTTTTTTAAAGATTTATTTATTTATGCATACAAAAACTGGGGTACAGGCCAGAGGTGTGGGGGTGAGAAGATTCTCCAGAGACAGAGTGGGGAACAGAACAGGCGGAATGACTGAAATACACTGCTGAGGGGAGCAGCAGGTGAGACAGGAAAGGTCTGCTGCTCTATGTGGTTTGCTCCCTGGCCGACTGGGGATCGAACTTGTGTTGCAATGTCTGCGGACAGCTTCATAGGTTGCGTCTTAACCCCCTGCGCCACCAGGGAGGCCCCTAGCATGTTCTTCTGTTGCATAGACTGATGCTAGCTGCCTAGGCCAAGCTAATACTATCGAGCCAAATACTAGTGATCAGGACCTCCCTGGTGGCACAAGGGGTTATGCACAGCATTATGAACCTATCTGCAGCCTCTGCAGCACAAGTTCGATCCCCGGCCAGCCAGGGAGCAACCCACATGGCGCAGTAGACCTCTCCTGCCTCACCCGCTGCTCCCCTCAGCAGTGTATTTCAGTCAATTTGCCTGTTATGTTCCCTAACCTGTCTCTGGTAAATCCTCTCACCACCCATACCTCTGGCCTGTACCCCAGTTCTTGTATACATAAATAAATAAATCTTTTTAAAAAAATAAGAAATACTAGTGATCAGGCAGGACTTGCAATGCTTTTAGAGTTGATAGGCTAGCCAAGGCCATACTGGGAAGATGAGCAGTCATGCTGGTGATGGTCAGGAGCAGTGATCAGGGCTTAAGTTCATATCAGGGGAGCAAAAGACAGATTATAGATTTCACAAATGAAGTCCTAATCATGAGGGTGGGAATGAAATGAGAGAGGTGTGCATTGGTAGGAGCATATCAGCATAGAACATATATGAGCTTTGCTGATGGCTGTCATTTCCATGGAAAATAGTTGTATAACAAATACAGGTGAGTCACCTTGAGACCTGCCCTGACCAATTAACATATAACTCAGTCCAATAAGAATAATTCATTGCTCCCCCAACCCCTAATGACTACAAATATAACTCCAGAGCACTGGAAAACAATGTGGATTTTTACTATTTTTTTCATAAAGGGCTATATCCGGGGTTTACACATTATATTAGTCAGCCAAACATATTAAAACTTTTCTCCATCCATCCATCCATCCATCCATCCATCCATCCATGCAACGACACACACACAAAAAACCTCCCTATTACTATTTGCAATTAAATCTCTGATTCTCATCCTACCTCTGATCTCTCTCTCCCTTGCTTCTGTGTTCTTTTTCCCAGTTAAGTTAATGCTCCTCTTTCCCTGTTCTCGGACTTTTCTTCCTACTACTCAGTCCAGAGGAGGAGTCTAGTAAGTAAAGTTCTCTATCTCTTTGTAGATATCTGCACCAGCTTTTGAAGATTCGATGAAGCCCTAATGCCAACTCTTACAAGGTATGTTTCTTCCAAATTATCCTGACATTGGTAAAATTTATGGGGAAAAGAATTTCCAAAGGGAAGTCACATAACCTCAAATGGCCTTTCACAAGTGATGGTTGCTTCATGAAAGATCAGCTGTTGACCAATATGAGCAAGATGAGGTTTTGCAAAGTTCTATCACCAGATTGTCTGAAGATATTATATGGTGCTGCTGAAGGGTTTATGGTTGTAGCTACATTCTCCACAGTGCCCAATTATTAGGCAACAGTGGAGTGAAGGACTCAGCTAAAAGGGGAGGGCTGGCTTAAGGACATTCATCATTTGTTAAAGAGACTTCACTTTTTCATTGGCACTAAAAATTATTTTTAGCATAAGAATGAGCTAAGTGACTAAATCACAATGACACAGGTTCATAAAGTTTTTCAGAGAATATGTTGAAAAATTTTCTGTCAACTTGTCGATATTGGGATATTGAAATGGATATACAAATGGTAACTACAGATATTTAGAAAAATGATAATACCTATCAAGAGTATTAAACATGATCAGTTCCATAAAATTATAGAAAAAATTTATGCAAAAAGTTGCCCATTTTAATATTGGTAAAAGTCCAAAGGACTGCGTGTTAAGAAAATTTATAAAAATTATGATAGCAACAATCAACAATTAAGCAGCTATTTACCTAGTACTGGTTATATCCATGTTACAATGTTCAATGTAAGATATAAGAGGCATATTTAAGATATATATTATATATATAAAAGATGCAAATTAATGTATTCAATATAACTTTGTATATATACATAAATACTTTTAATTTATATTAAAGATATGTATATATACATATATGTATATATACTGTTGTCATTGGCTTGAAATGCTGGAAATATAGACTTTTCCCATCTTCTTTCTCCTTTTTAATATTTATAAATAATTCTGGAGTATTAAATATTATTCTATAAATACCACTCACTTCTTTTCTAATAATAATGATAATAGTAAAGGCTGGCAGAAACATTTACATATAATTCCAAATGGAATAGTGGCTTTGGGCCCTGAAGCCTATTGTGATAAACTAAAATTTCTTCTTTTTTTGGTTTCACGCTCCTTATAATGACACCTCACAATGCAATTTCTAGCATCGTCAGCTGTGAGATTGTTGTAATCTCAAGGAATGCATGCTGGTCTTAACAACCATGGCAACAGACTTTGTAAAATGTTAAATGGAATGTGTCTGATTAAGGATCTACCACAACTTAGTTCAGTTTGAATCTTACTCTTCTGGTTGATGATGGAGTTCTGTTGCCAATTCTTGGCAGATATACAGTCGTGTCAGTGGAGAATTGCCATGTATTCCCTGTATGGTCTTTAATGGTCACTTGTTTTCTTGAACCTAGATTTTCCTCCCTTAAAACAAGGATAGAAATACCTATATCAGAGAGCTGTTGGCTAGAGTGAATGAGGCAATTAATGCACAGAAAACCCCATGCAAACATAGGACAAGTAGTTCAGTATGTAAGGAAAGGTACATGGCTCAGTGTTGGGCAATACTGACTTTTTCTGCCTCAGCCATTTGCTGTCTCAGGCCTTCAGAAGATGACACAGCATTTCTCATCTTCACTCATTTCTTAGTCACTTTGCAGAGTGATTATGAGGGCTGGAAGTACTATTGTTTTTAAAATGCCTCATACGAAGTCTTCAGAATTAGTGATCACTCTTTTTAAGTATTTATCAAAAGTAAACTTGACCTATATTCCCTGACTATACTCCAGCCCCTGGCATTCACTTGATATGAATGATCAAGAACTCTTGATGACACTGCTAGCAATTTCTCTGGATTCCTGTGTAATGGATTCTGAAGAACATGTTCAACTAATGTTATCCTTTCTTTTGGAAAACTTGCACTTTACATTGCTATGTTTGGAGTAGAGTTTTTTTTTTTATTTTTTTATATTTTTTTTATAGAGGCATGTTTTATTTATTTATTTGTTTGTTTGTTTTGTTTATACAAGCACTGGGTACAGTCAGAAGCGCGGGAGGATGAGAGAATTCACCAGAGCCAGAGCGGGGAGCAGAACAGGCAGAAGGACGGAAGCACACTGCTGAGGGGAGCAGCGGGCGGCAAGAGAGGTCTGCGCGCCATGTGGGACCCTCCTCTGGTGGCTGGGCAGAAGGCGGGGATCGAACCGGCGCCACAGAGGCCGGGGGCAGCTTCGCAACCCAGCGCTCAACCGCTGCGCCACCGGGGAGGCCCTGGAGTAGAGTTTTAATGTGAGCTTCTGAGCTTGGTTGAATATTGCTGTAGTTATGGTTAACTATAGAGAATCTGATACAGGTGCTTTTCCTGATCTGGTAAGTTAGTTATTTAAAGATTTTTGTTTATGCCTTGGAAAAACTGCTTCTTTTGGAAACTCTGTCTTGGATTTCTGAGATACTTAATCATGCAACCTTGTTGATGATGTAGAGATTTTTCCTGGACCATTAAAAATGACCATACTGTTTCGATTTAATGAGATCTTACAGAAGTTGGTTTGCTGTGGTCTTTTCAAACAGGATAACCTTGAAAATACATACATTAATAAATTCCAAAATCTGCAGTCTCAAGGGATACCTTGGTGAGCACATAACTATGTCCTAAGCAGGATGTTGATTTTATTTATAAACTGTGAATCTCTAAATAATGACTAATGAATAAAAACGCTGCTTTAATAATTTAATCAGTCAATTTCATATTTTTGCTTTAGGTTAAACAGAATCTTTGAGAATTCTTACCATTAGGAAGTTCTCTGTCTGGTAGATTGAGGACTGAATGAAAGCAGCCTAGCACATGATTTCTGTGAAGACAGATGATTGACAAAGACTCCTCTGTATAGTCCAGGCCATTTAAATACAGAATGTACTCAGTTTCAGGTGATGTTGGAACTAATTTGATTATAGGGAGAATATGAAAATGGATTTGCAATGCATCTTGTTCAGTTTTCTCCATTTTAATAAGAACTCATCTTGTTATTAGAAATGGCAGGATTTGAAGCCATAGGAAGAAATTCTAACCATGATTCTAATATTGAAATACATTACATTTGAGAACTATATAACTACCTAATTGCACTCCTCTATAACCTGTGCATCAAGGAATCGCCAGCAGCAACAATAGAAAATCTGAGGCGTTTTCTTCTAGGACTTTTCTCCCTTATCTAGCACAGAACAGTCAATGAATTCTGGATGCCTTGCTGGCTTCAGAACAGGAATTTTTGTCCAAGTAGAAGCAAATGTTCTGTTTTGAAATTTGGGTAGAAAGTTACTGGTATGAAAGTGTATGTGAGGGAAGAATGACATCAACCTTCTTGGTGAGCAATGCAGGTGACAAAGAACACCACAGTTGTGAAGCTTATCTCAGAACACTATGAAATAATGACCAAATTCTTTCCATTTCATACATCAGGAAGAACTCTGACATCAGGAACACTGATGACAAAATAATTATAATAGCTAACAGTCTTTGGTAAATCAAGTTGCGACTGGCACATACTAAAGTTTTCAATAATATAAGCATCCTGCAATCATTATTGCTTTTGTTATTATTATTATACTGAAAAAATGTTCCTGATGGCAGAATATTCCTAATTAATGCATCTAATTATAAGATGAATGAGTGTATAGATCTACATAACTACACATGTATACATGAACACACATATGTATATACTCATTTAATTTTCACATTAGTCTTGCGAAATGGTATTACAAGTATCCCAGTTTTACAGATGAGGAAATGGAGTTACTGAGAGATTAAATAACTTGTGCCAAGAAGAATACATAGCTCATAAGTGATGAGGCCAAGAAGTAAACCCCAGAAAATGTCTCCAAAGTCTGGGTTTCTACCTCCATGTTTACTTGTTCATGAAAGAACACAAGAACAGCTAAGACTGCAGAGTATTTATTATTTCCCACATTAATATTTATTTGCCATTTGTTACTGTTTTGTTGTCATTAAGTGGAAACTTGAGTAAAAGGATAAAACATTTTAGAGAAGAAAAACAAAACTGGAATAAAATGTTACTCATTAATATTTTCCCTCAAAAGTTAGAAAAAAGACCATATATTAAATGCAGACCCCATCAATCCAACTCATGATAAACTATCATTTTGTGGGATTACCATTTGAGAACCACCAGAGTATGAAAATGTCTTGAGTTTGCGGTAAACACACTTGAATATGATATATTTATATTTTTTTATTGCTATCTGACTGTAGGCATTGGGGACTACAAAGAGGTTGGAAAATAGGATGAAACATCTGTAGCACACCAGGATGTCTTTTACCAGCTTGTTTTGATTCATACTATGTCACTTAATCTCTACCCAGTGCCTGGGTTAACCTCCCCACCTTGCATGTCCATCAAATCCTGCACATCCATTTAGTCCTTTCTTGAGTCCCAGCTTCTCTGTAAGAACTTGCTTGGCCATATCACCTTCTCACTAACTCCACAAATACTATAATGCAGATGACAACTTGGGAGGTTTTTGAGATGTGTTATGTATAATTTCCATAGATCTTTAGCTCGAAGGTAAAAAACTTTAGGTCAGGAGCCAGATCTTTGTATCTCTCACTTACTTTGTTGGCACAGGTGTGAAGATGTCTAATGGTAGCTGGTACTGAGAGAACTGAATGGGCACTGCCTTGAAGCCAGTCTCCATTCATATATGAAAGGAGTATACATAACATCAAGGGAGATAGAAAAGTACCATTTTTAAAGTCTGTATAATGGAAAATATGCTTTTAAAAATAACCATAAATGCCTGTTAAAGAGGGTAGTTTCTGTTAAATGGAAGGCTGAGCACCATGCTGAGTTTGACTGTGCAAGCTGGGAAGTAGGAACCCTGGAGACCTGGCTGGTTCTGCATGGTAGAGGGGGAGGAACTTGGAACTCTTGGGAGGAATCCAGGAGGAAGGTAGGAAAAGGAGTCAGGAGAAACAGAGCCTTATAGTTGGAGAGATGGCCTGAAAGAACTTT